CCTTTAAAGTTGTCCAAATGATGTTCTTAGCAATGCATATTACTAATCAAAATTAAGTTTTGATATATTTATGGTAGGAAATTTACAAAATATCTTCAAGGAACATGATCTTTACTTAATATCCTAATGATTTTTGGCATAAAATAAATATCTATCATTTTGACCCATACAATGTATTTTTGGCTATTGCTACAAATATACCCCAGCGACTTAAGACTGCTTTTGTGCTCCAGGGTCACAAATGGAAACAAGGAGTTTGGGATTCATAGGAATCCAATTTATCGCTAAATATTTTTCACATTTAGCTAACATATTATAGCTACTCATATGCACAACTACATTGAGGCTAGATTTTGAGGGGACTGAAAATGTAGCGTAATGTTGGTGTTTAGCCTCCACAAATGTGATTGAAAATGTCTTGTGAGTAGATTTAATCTATGCTTATCAGTAACAGATTTATTTCCTTTTACTGACATGAATACATTCAGCACAGAAATAGATGGGGTTTTATTTCCGTGTAATTATCTCTGTATTAAAGGGATAGTTTTTTTACTCTCATAGATTTTGTTACCATTGCCATGCATTATACGACTGATAGACTGCAACAGTTGGAGTTAAAAATCATCAAATGTGTTCTACTGAAGAAACAAAGTCACCTACATCTTGGATGCCCTGGGGGTAAGCAGATAAACATCACATTTTCATTTTTGGGTGAACTATCCCTTTAACGCCAATATGGGACTTTTAACTTATGAACACAGTAATAACTCAAGATCAACAGAACGCACAATGGAAGGGATTACTGAAACCTGAATTACCTTCCACACAAAGGCACGTGTGTACAGTTGTAACCCGCCCTCCCTGAGCCTTTTAAAGAATTTGATCACAGTCTTTCCTCATTAAACTGGACTGAAACATCGCCTTGGATTGTGTCGTTAAACTTCTAGAAAACATGCGCCTGGAAACACAAACGCTCAGCGGACTTTTGCTGGTGGTCACATAAATGTCATGAATAAGTGAATATTGTGGGACGATGAAGAGAGCAGGTGAGTGTTTTTTTTTTTTTTACACATAATACACACTAAGTCACAACTACAACCATTTTAATTATACAATAAGCTGATGTGATATTTAAATAACGTGTCATTTAAAAGACAAATGTGAAAAGGATATCACAAGCTCACCACTTGTTTATTTTAAGCTTGTTTGAATTCACTTTTTAAAAGGAAAGTCAAAGATAAGAGAAAATAACTAGTTGTCACACGGAGAGTTGTCAGCATATGTTAACAAGTGTTTTCTCTAGAAGTGGTTTTGTTTGTTTTTTAAATGCCTAGTTCAAGCATCTACCCGAAATATTCACAGGAGTAAAATGTATGACAGCTATAGTCTCACAGTCTACCATATGTATTTGATGGATTTTTTAAGTGTTATTTTAACAAAGTTAAATAGTAGAATATGCAATATAATTCTTACTTACTTCCATTGAAGCTGGGGACTTTCCATGTACAGTACATTCTTGCAATGTAGTGATCAATGTAGAAACTGAAATGACAGCATCTTAAAGGTGCTTATGAGAACAACTTTCTGTTTTGGGTTTTGATAGACTCCAAGCCTATTTAATGTTTAGCTAATGTAACACTTAATGGCATTTCCTAATTTTATGAGTTAACAACTTAAAGAATATTTAGATATAATATTAAAAAAAAATTAAAATGCTGTTTTGGGGGTAACACATTACAAGTAACACACAATATGTAATCAGATTACTTTTTGACTTTTAAACGCATTACTTTTAAATTTACAATGAAATATCTGAGTTACTTTTTCAAATAAGTAACGCAAGTTACTTTGTTTTCCCATTTATTCACTGGCATCTTTCCTGTCCCCGTGTTGAGAGAAACTTGAAATAAGTGCAGAGGCACTTCCTTCAGCCTGAGGCTTATTCAATTCACTATTGCTGTGAAAGGGCCTGTACTGATGCCAAAATATAACTTTTGGATTTTTGTAAAAAAAAATAATACAAAAAAAATAATAATAAAATAAGCAAGCCCAGAGCAAGTGACAAAAAGTAACACAAAAAGTAACTTGCATTACTTTTCATAAAAAGTAACTTAAGTAACGCAAGTAGTTACTTTTTCATGGAGTATCACAATATTGTAATGCACTAATTTTAAAAGTAACTTTTCCCCAACACTGCTAAAATGTAACATGTTTCAGGTTTAAAAAAAAAAACATAAATATGCAATTGATTTTTACATAGATTTTCTGATTGGTTTCTGCTGTATATGCAGTTGTTTGTTCTTGCTGCCAAATTGACCCCTAAAAGCATCATCATTACACTAAACATATTTCCAAAAAGTATATTCTTTTGTGGTGAAACAAATGTTAAATCTTGTACTGGATTTAAATTCAGAGAAAATTGTTATTGTTGTTATTATTATTATTATTATTATTATTATTATCCTTTTCATTCCACAAAAGGTTCTTTATAGTGGCAAAAGGTTCTTCAGATTTTTAAAATGTTCTTCGCACTAAGAAATAAAAAAAGGTTGATTTCAGTGAAATATTCTTTGTGGAACCAAAATTGGTTCTTCTGTGCCATCTCTGCAAAAGCCTCCCTTTGAAACATTCATTTTAAATAGTGTAGTGTAGAATATGTAAAAATGTACTATAACACAAACAGCAAAAGGTGTCTGATGGACTTCAAACATTATGGAAGTCAAACTGAACACAATATGTTTTAAATATGCTAACTGTGTTTCAGCCAAAGGGTTCTTTTCCTTGTTCATATTTCTCTATGTGCTTTTCTTTTTCCTCTCAGCTGGTGATCAGAAACCACCTTTGGCATCAAAACCGAAGGTTCTCCCAGCACTGATGCAAACAGAACATCCACCTGCTTCAAAGCTGTGTGTTTACCAGCCTTCGTCACCAGCTGTTAAATGCAAAGTTAAGCCTGATGTGGCACCAAAACCATGCCTCTCCAAACTCCCTCCTCTCGCTTTCAATCCGAAACCCCTCACATCCAAGGTTTGCCATCAAGCTGTTCTACAACAAAAGTCTGACATCACAAAGACCGCTGGTGCTTTAAATGTCAGAAATGAAACTCACACCAGCAACAAGCCAGAGTGGGATTACATCATTCCCATCTGCGTATGCAATGACCGAAACTGTGCCGATTGCTCACCGAAGGAAAACAACCAAAATGTTCATCAACAAAGTCCTGATAAGTATAAGGCGAGCAAAAACGAAGGACCCAGAAAGAGCCCATTAAAACCTCCCTTGAGAATACCAGAAGAACAGAAGCATTTAGTGACACCTACTTTGTCGAAGTGCATCTCTGGACACAGTTCATCCAATAGTAATCATTTCCATCCAACTGAAAAACCTCAGAAAACATCCCAGAACACAGAGCCCTTGAAGGCACATCAGAGTGGTTCTGAGATGCAATTGACCAGGAAGCACCAAAACATCATTGTCTCTAGTGTTAATCCATCAGCTGATAGTCATCCAGAACCTCTAGAATGTCAACAAGCCGTAAGTAGTGCACAATATTGTCCGTCCACTACAAAGCCACCTAAAAAAGCACCAGTAGCCATGCAGCGCAAAACTACGAAGGAACAATCCAGCATTGTCTTTCAGGAGTCAACAGGCCTCACCAAAAAAGAGTTTACCGTCTTACCTGTTGATGTAAACAATCCAGATCCGTTATGGAAAGAAAGTCCAAAGGTGAACATCAATGCTGTAAGACATTCTAGAGAGAACAAAGATCCTCAGGCCTCAAGGGGTGCGAAAAGCACCCAGTGCACCAGCCAGGGCGCTCCAACACCTGCCCCACGGCAGAAGACCCCTCGGATGCAACAAAATAAATCCCAGGACATTGGTGTACAGGGGACTGGAACGAAAGCACAAAATCTGGATGTCGTTGAGATTTTGGTATCAAGCAATAAACACCTGAAGAAGACCCAAAAACTTCGACCTGATGGCCACAGTCACGACAACATTGGGGCTACAGAGCTTTCAGTAGATAGGCTTCCTAAAAAGACACCAGCGTCCAAATCTCCACTGAGAAACGATGGTCACATTGAAGGACATCTCCCTCTTGCAGTTGAGAAGAAGCAAGCAAGTCATGTGCCAAACAAGAAGACTCTCAAGCCGAAATCCAAGTCCTTATCGTCAGCAGACACCCATAAACCTGATGGCCTCAAGAAGACCTCCTTTCTTAGGATCATGGACCTTGACCGTGGCAAAAAGGTGCCGAAGTTATCCGTCAAGAGTGTACAGGCTGTCGATCTCGCTCCGGTTATGAATGAACAGTCAGTGGACACGGAGAAAAGCCAGCGCAAAATCGGCTCTCAGAAACCGATGCCACTGCACAATGGACTCCCAGATGGACTGAATTTGAGGCAAGCAGTGAATGGGAACATATTAGGAGTTGAGCAGAGTGTCGATGACGATCTGGAGAATGCTGGTGAATCTGAACATGCATATGAAGATATCGCAGAATATGAAAACCTGCCTCCTTTTAGCCCCGCAAAGGCACAGGATGCCAATAAATACCAATACCAGTCTTCAAAATATGAGGACGATGGTATTTATGAAGTTCCTGATGTGTTCCCAGAACACAGTGTAGATGCCAAAGAGCAGCAGTTTCTTGAAAGGTTAGCATGCATGGATATTAATTAAAAATTGTCCAATGTGTGCGGGTGTCCTGAGTTTGAATCCTGACTTGAGGACCTTTCCTGATCCCGCCCCCTCTCTCTCTCTCACTTCGCTTCTGTCACTTCTACACTGTCCTATACTAATAAAGTCAAAAACCGCCAAAAAAACTAAACAAAAAAATGCCCAATGCAGGTCAATCAATTATATTTATGTTTGAACTTATAGCCAATTTTTTATTTTTTATTTTGGGAAAATGCAGACTAGAAACTAAAAAATAAAAACTGAAAGTTTTTTTTTTTGTCAATGTTAAATTACTATTGTGATGCATGAATTTAGACATGACAACATTATAATGTACAGTATGAACTAATGTTTCATTTTTGCATGAATAATTCATGAATTGAGTTGATTTGATTCCTGAATTTTAATTTAAAGGGGTCATATGACGTTGCTAAAAAGAACATTATTTTGTGTATTTGGTGTAATGCAATGTATTTACGCGGTTTACGGTTCAAAAAACACATTGTTGCTCCTCTATGCCCCGCCTTTCTGAAACGCATCGATTTTTACTAAGCTCATCGTTCTGAAAAGCGCGGTGTGCTCTGATTGC